CATGCAGGTTAGTGATGACTAATAGATGATCCCTATTGATTTTGAGGTTGCTGGGTCAAAGGTCAAGGTCACAGGGGCCTTGACTAAAAAAAAGCTTGTCCGCCCAATAACTTGTGATTTATTTGACTCATAGTCTTCATATTTGGCATGGAGGTTAGTCATGATTAGTAGATGACCCCTATTGATTTTGATTTTTTGTTTGATTTGGGTTCAACGGCACACCGACACAGTATAGGTCATTTGGTGACATTCCAGCAGCTTTACTGGTGGAGGAAGACCTCAGGTGCCCCTCTGTGTATTTTTTTTTTTCAGGCACGAACGGGAACCTGAGTAGAACCACAGACGTTCCGTAAGCTAGCTGGATAGCTTATCCACATGAAAGAATCCAAAGTCCCTGTCAGGATTCGAACCCACAGCGGTGAGGGGCAAGTGGTTTGAAGTCAACGACCTTAACCACTCGACCACGGACGCCCCCGTATTGATTTTGAGGTCACTGGGTCAAAGGTCAAGGTTACAGGGGCCTTGATTAAAAGAGCTTATCAGGCCAATAGATCTCTTTGACCTGCAGTCTTCATATTTACACCCCCACCACAAAAGTAGGGTGGGGGGTTATAATGGATTTGCTTTGTTGCGTTGGTCCGTCCGTCTCCATTTTCATGTCCACTCTATAAATCCTAAACCAATTGAAGGATTTTCTTCAAACTTGGCTCAAATGTTCATCTCAACAAGGGGATGTGCAGAACCTATGTTGCCCATGTGTAAGGTCAAGGTCACAATTGAAAGTCAAATATCAAACAATCAAATATTAGACAGTATGTTGTGTCCGCTCTGTAAGTCCTTCACTAATTAAAAGATTTTCTTCAAACTTGGCTCAAATGTTCACCTCAACAAAGGGATGTGCAGAACCCATGTTGCTCATGTGTCCGCTCAAGCTCAAGGTCACAATTGAAGGTCAAATATCAAACAATTGTAAGGACCTACCCCCCTAGGGTAGTTACCAAATCTTTATTAATCAGGATACCGGTCACTGTATTAACTAGTAAGTGTATGGCAATACTTCTACCCCATATTACATACACTTACAAGTAGCTGTTGTTTTAAACATCAGACATAGCTTCAACACATCTCAGCCATCTTTGTAGTATACCAGTACATCATAAGAGGTAGGCTCAGATCATAATAGAGACATCATAGTTTCATCAAGGGATTCTTTGTAAGTATCTGGTCATCTTGTCAGGATATTTATATAACCAGGATTTATACAACCTATTACTTAGGATGGAGTGTACAAATATAGGTAAGTCCTGCATTGGTATAAACACAGGAAACTGGTACAAGACATCAGTAACTCGATTAACATGTAAACGTCATTTAATAATGTGACATCATATATAACAAGTACATCTCAATAAATATGTATATGATATTCGCTGACAATACTACTCTGTGACGTAGATCTATCGTTATAAACGGATTGATATCGGGCGGCATTAACAATTCTTCTTCGATGGATTAAATACCGGCATTGACAATACTCGACAATTGAGGACCTAGGCTTATGCAATGGGATCTTCTTCAGTTATGAACATTTAGTTACAAATAAATGTAAAGTATGACAGGAGGTTGGAAATTTCTAAGAACAATACATCTTTTAGGGTCTGCCATAACGTGATAATTCATATTAGGTTCAGCATCAAATGAATTTGTAATAGACATTTGTAAGTAAACTGTTGTTGTTTACGATAGTACTGGATAGCTTAACGACCAGCAAATTAAGGTAAGAACTTTATTATTTATCTAATATATAGTAGATACCTTATAAGTAAGCAAGTAAGTGGTTGCAGGATATATATATATATATATATATAGATATATCAGACGTAATACGACTTAAGGCTCAAAGAATTTAAGCTTTGTTGCTTTGGTACTTCTCAAGTTTTTACGGTTGAGAAGAAGATGCCAAATGACGACAGTCACCCCTATTTATAAACTTTTGGGACGCTACAAAAAGTGCTCCAGCCAATGAAAATCCCGGCTTAAGACTAGGTCCAGTGATCAGTCTTTAACAATATTCAACAATATAGCAATAACAATAAAAGTTCTAACACATAAGTAGCACATATATGGCTTAATTGAAAAGCCACATAAACATATCTGAAATAACATTTAAAAATACATATTAACAAAAAGCCGGTCCAAAATACTCGAGCGTAGTGATATATGCAGACGTATTCTATTACGCAGATAAAATACAGTTCTCACTTAATAAAATATGATAAAGACAGAAAATCATCCGGCTCAAATCAGGCTTACAATTATTTTTACATAAATAAGAAATCCTGAAAGTTTAAATGTAAACAAATATACATTCATAAAAAGCCAGACTGAAATACAAATAAGTAGTTCCAAAGTTCTGTGTCCGCCATTTTTAAACATGGAAAATGACAGAAGAATGCGCCGTCTGAATCGTCCAAAAATGTCTGTAGATATTCACTTCGTGATATATAATAGTAACTGTAAATGTTCCAAATTATTAGATATTCATCAGGAAATAAATTAGGGTCATCTGACCATTTTGTAGCGAGAGTTATCTATCCTAATGTGATACTCTTCTTAAAAGAGAACTGTCAACAATGCTGATATTCAAGTTTTACGTTGTGTTTCGTGGAATAAAGTCCATTTGTTAAAAAGGTAGCACTATTTGATAATTGTTAATACATTTTTAAGTAAGAACTGTTCATGATTTATAGAATTATATATGCACATGTTGATTTCTGTTGAAAGTATAACGTAAATTGTCATGTCATTTGAAATGTCCAAAATTTGTAAGGGAGGTATTCCATTACACAATCAAATATTACACAGTATGTTGTGTCCGCTCTGTAAGTTTTACACTCATTGAAAGATTTTCTTCAAACTTGGCTCAAATGTTCACCTCAACAAGGGGATGTGCAGAACCCATGTTGCCCTTGTGTCAGCTCAAGCTCAAGGTCACAATTGAAGGTCAAATATCAAACAATCAAATATTAGACAGTATGATGTGTCCGCTCTGTAAGTCCTACACTAATTGAAAGGTTTTTATCAAACTTGGCTCAAATGTTCACCTCAACAAGGGGATGTGCAGAACCCATGTTGCCCATGTGTCAGCTCAAGGTCAAGGTCACAATTGAAGGTCAAATATCAAACAATCAAATATTAGACAGTATGTTGTGTCTGCTCTGAAAGTCCTACACTAATTGAAAGATTTTCTTCAATCTTTGCTTAAATGATCACCTCAACAAGGTTATGAGCAGAACCCATGTCACCCATTTGCTGGCTTAAGGTCAAGGTCACACTTGAAGGTCAAAAATAGACTTAGAAAACATTCTTAAATTATAACATGTATTTGAATATTTCTGAAACTAGAAAAGGTATTTGTTTGAAACTTAAAATATATATGAAGTGTCACAATTAATATATGCTTGTCAAGTTTCATAACTCTGTATTGCATTTTAACAAAGTTATGCCCCTTTTTAAGTCTTGAAATTTACATGCAATCAAATATTAGACAATATGTCGTGTCGGCTCTATAAATTCTATATTAATGGAATAATTTTCTTCAAACTTTACTCAAATGTTCACCTCATCAAGGTTAAATGCAGAATCCATGTTAACTTTGTCCCGGCTAAAGGTCAAGGTCACACTTGAAGGTCCAAAATTGACTAAGAAAATGTTCTTAAATTTTAACATGTACTTGAATATTTCTGAAACTAGCTCAGGTATTTGCAATCTTAAAATATTTACGAGGTGTCACAAATAAGATATGCAGGTCAAGTTTCATAACTTGCATTTTGACAAAGTTATGCCCCTTTTTAAGTCTTCAAATTTACATACAATCAATACTAGACAATATGTCGTGTCCGCTCTATAAATTCTATACTAATAGAAGGATTGTATTCAAACTTTACTCAAATGTTCACCCAAACTGGGCAATATGCAGAACTCATCTTACCATTGTGCCAGCTGAAGGTCAAGGCCACACTTGAAGGTCAAAAATTGACTTAAAAAATGTTTAGTACATTGGGAAAATGAAAGGTTATTTGTAACTGTTTGAACACGATTTGACAATATATTTATACTATTATCTGTACAATTAGTCTTTTTTTCACCAGAGATAATTTCTTTTTATGTTTATGTATTTGTGCCAATAAAGTTCTTCCCTTAACCACCTTTCCAAGTCGTCTTCTGTCAAAGACATTGGTGGGGGTATGAATCGCATTCAGCGATAGTTCTAGTTGGTATTGAGGTTGTTTATGACTACAGTAGATTGCCCCTATTGTTTTTTAGTTGACTGTGTCAAAGTTCAAGGTCACAGGGATTTTTACTATAATAAGTTTGTCTGCTCAAATGCTTAAGAATGCCTGTCCACAGTGTATTGCTATTTGAAGCATGTAGAATACATAACCTAGCAATGCACTGGCTTAGTAACCTCAAATTTGGCAGGGAGGTTGTCCTTGAGCTGTAAATGGCCACTGTTGATTCTGACAAAATGGTATGTGGGGGCATTCACACCATGACAGTGGCAGTTCTAGTTAATTTATGTCGTGCAAAGCTCAAAAAATATTTGACCTTGAGCCATGGAACTTTACAGAAATTTTGCTCAGCATTTGTAGTAACGGGATTTGCCTGCAGATTTATCCAGTATTTGTTATAATAGCCCTTGACTTAGTAAAAAATGTGCATGTAGAATTTCCTTTTTCTGTCCGTCTGTCATTTTATTGTGCTGTTCTTAAGTAGACCGACAAAACAGTAGAATATGGGGGCAACAGTGTCCTATGGAAACATATTAGTTTTGCTTTTTTACCCTACATAAGTTATCAGTATGTGATGTATGGCAACTGCATTCTGTATCATGAAGAGGAAGCAGTCAAGATGTAATGACTGTATACAATTCTAGTAAAAGACCATTCTCTTTATCAAGGAATCACTTAAATGTATATGGTTATAATAACATATTGTAGGTTTTGCAGCAGTTTGTTGAAGACTGTCTGATAGAAGCTGATGAACAGGATTGTAAGTCAATTGCTTTCCCTGCACTTGGTACTGGTAATTTGAGATATCCTCCAAGAGATGTAGCTGCTGCAATGTTAGATGGAATTGAGAGTTATATTGAAGAATCCATGAGTGGAAAAGTTAAAAATGTGTATATATCTACAACAGATGATGCAATGTATCAGGTATTTTTAAATTAATATAATGTATTATCATATTTCAGGGATTTAAGAATAAAGTGTAGATTTTTGGAGAGGTATTTTTATATGTAAGAACCTTCATACTCTTAATGTTGATTGCACTTGATGATTTCAGTACCTATGTTATGTATCTGCCTGTATGGTAAGGTCAAAATAGTGTCAAAGTTGAAAACATTTTTGTAAGTCACTTTAGTTGCATTCAATTCTTTTCATTACGAAAACAAAAAATATGACTGCCCCTTCAAGCAAAGTTCATTGACCTAGGATCTGTAAACTTTGAATGTTGATTCACCTTGATGAGTTCTACCTGTCAAACCCATTTTCAGGTAAAAGGTCAAGGTCAATAGAGCCTTTGTTACTTCTTTTTGGATTATTTTTTGTTTCTTGTCAATGACTTTAATTTTGACTCTGAAACTTGATATGTTGTTGCATCTTGATCAAATTTAAAGGTCTTTCAAAATATCTCTTTATGTAGAAAACATGAAGTTCATAAATATCTCTTACAAAAGTGGAGTGTGCTGCTGTTTTCTTATGCTTCAATTAACTATAATTATCAAATAAAAAAGCAAATTATATACATATATATATATATATATATATATATATATATATATATATATATATATATATATATATATATATATATATATATATATATATATATATATATATATATATATATATTCTTCTGGTTTGCTTTGTTTTGCAGATCCTGGATATGGAACAAAAGATCAGAGATGACCAAAATACTAGAGGTGATGGGGACATAGCAAGTAATATAGCCTTTCGTTTTTTTCTGATCAAATCAATGATCAAATTATAACTTGAGGTGAAGGTCAAGCTAATACTCAAACTAGACCAGAAGAAAACAATATTTGATTTGATTTGATTCTAAGAATTTCAATACAGTCCTGTCTGACTTTGTTTTGCAGAACTACATTCTGCATTTGAAAACATAATATAAGTAATAGAAAGAGCATCAAAACATGAGGCTCTCTTGATGTGTACGAGGGGGCGTAGCACACGAGTATTAATCAGATTGCCGAGTGTTTTGATGTTCTTTCTCTTTTGTATCATAGTCAAAAATAAAAACATGTTCTCTGATGTCACAGTATTAAACCCCAAAAAAAAGTAACCAATGAACGAGCATCTGAATATGACGAGCATATATTCTTTGTTTTGTCCGTCTGTACGTCAGTCAGTCCGTCCGGGTACATCCGTCCCTCCGTCCGTCCGTATGTACGTCCTGAATTCTTGTCCAGCCCATAACTTCCTTATTTGAAGTTGGATTTTATAACTATTTCACTGAAGTGATCACCATATTGAGACGATGTGTCGCAGGCAACATTTGGGTCGCTACCTTGAAGGTCAAGGTCACAGCATGACCTTGCAGCAAAATCTTGTCCGCCCATAACTTTGTTATTTGAAGTCGGATTTTAGAACCATTTCAAAGAAATGATCACTATATTGAGACGATGTGTTGCGCGCAACATTTTGGTTGCTAGCTTGAAAGTCAAGGTCACAGCATAAACTTGCAGCAAAATTGTGTCCGACCCATAACATTGTTATTATGCCCCCACTTCGAAGAAGAGGGGGTATATTATGCCCCCACTTCCAAGAAGAGGGGGTATATTGCTTTGCACTTGTCGGTCCGTTGGTCCGTCGGTATGTAGACAAAATGGTTTCCGAGTGATAACTAAAGAACCCTTAGGCCTAGGAACTTCAAACTTGGTATGGTGATTGGTCATGACCAGTAGATGAGCCCTATTGATTTTGGGGTCAAGGGGTCAAAGGTCAAGGTCATTTTGACATTGTAAGCAAAAACGGTTTCTGATCAATAACTAAAGAACCTTAAGGCCTAGGAACTTCAAACTTGGTATGGTGATTGGTCATGATCAGTAGATGACCCCTATTGATTTTGGGGTCAAGGGGTCAAAGGTCAAGGTCACATTGACCTCTTGGGTAAAAACGGTTTCCGATCAATTACTTAAGAACCCTAAGGGCTAGGAACTTCAAACTTGATATGGTGATTGGTCTTGATCAGTAGACGACCCTTATTAATTTTGGGGTCAAGGGGTCAAAGGTCAAGGTCACATTGACCTCTTAGGTAAAAACAGTTTCCGACCAATAACTAAAGAACCCTTAGGCCTAGGAACTTCAAACTTGGTATGGTGATTGGTTATGACCAGCAGATGACCCCTATTGATTTTGGGGTTAAGGGGTCAAAGGTAAAGGTCACATTGACCTTGTAGGTAAAAACGGTTTCCTATCAATTACTAAAGAACCCTTAGGCCTAGGACTTTCAAACTTTGTATGGTGATTGGTCATGACCAGCAGATGACCTATTGATTTTGGGGTCAAGGTGCCAAAGGTCAAGGTCACATTGACCTTGTAGGTAATAACGGTTTCCTATCATTTAACCTAAAAGGCTTAGGCCTAGGAACTTCAAACTTTGTATGATGATTGATCGTGATCAGCAGATGACCCCTATTGAGTTTTGGGTCAAGGTGCCAAAGGTCAAGGTCACATTGACCTTGTAAGTAAAAACGGTTTCTGATCAATAACTAAAGAACGCTTAGGCCTAGGAACTTCAAACTTGGTATGGTGATTGGTCATGACCAGCAGATGACCCCTATTGATTTTGGGATCAAGTGGTCAAAGGTCAAGGTCACATTGACCTTGTAAGTAAAAACGGTTTCTGATCAATAACTAAAGAACGCTTAGGCCTAGAAACTTCAAACTTGGTATGATGATTGGTCATTGCCAGCAGATGACCCCTAATGATTTTTGGGTCAAGGGGTCAAGGTCACATTGACCTTGTAGGTAAAAACGGTTTCCGATCAATAACTAAAGAACGCTTATGCCTAGGAACTTCAAACTATGTATGATGATTGGTCATAACCAGTAGATGGCCCCTATTGATTTTGGGGTCAAGGGGTCAATGTCATATTGACCTTGTACGTAATGACCGTTTCTGACCAAAAACTCAACAACTCAAGTTGCCTTGGTTGATATTTTTATATTAAACTAAAAATGCTTTTGGTATACACATTTGAAGGTCTTATGTAATATAACAACATGGCTGTCATTAATGAGGCCTACATGATTCATAAAATTTATGCATATATTATTTGGTAAGATTTGTAATAACTTAAATTGCTGCACACAACCTATGGGGTCACAATAATTATTACCTTGTGACTAGTCATGACCAGTAGATACTAGATAACCCTTATTTATTGTTTGTTCACTGGGTCAGAAGTCATGCATAATAACCTGATCACATGACTAATTGGCTGCCGATAGGGGGCATACATGTTTTACAAACATACCTTGTTTGAAGTTGGATTTTACAACCATTTCACAGAAATGATCACTATATTGAGACGATGTGATGCGCGCAACATTTGGGTTGCTAGCTTGAAAGTCAAGGCCATAGCATGACCTTGCAGCAAAATCGTGTTCGGTCCATTACTTGGTTATTTGAAGTCGGATTTTACAACTATTTCACAGAAATGATCACCATATTCAGACAACATGTCGCGCGCAGCAATTTGGTTGTTACCTTAATCAAGGTCACAGCATGACTTTGCTGCAAAATCGTGTCAGGCCCATAACTTCGTTATTTGAAGTCGAAGTTTACAACTATTTCACAGAAATGATCACCATATTAAGACGAAATGTTGCGCGCAATATTTTGATCCCTACCTGTAGGTCAAGGTCACAGCATGACCTTGCAGCAAAATCATGTCTGGCCCATAACTTCGTAATTTCAAGTCAGATTTTACTACTATTTCACAGAAATGATCACGATATTTATAAGACGCGTCACGCGCAACGTTTTGGTTGTTTTTACACTTTGTTTGTGACATTACATTATGTAAGCTATCCAGTTAACTAAAGGAAGGTTGGTGGTTCTATACAGGTGCCTGCTTGACACTTCTCAACTTTCTCATCTATGTATCATGTATTTGTAATATGAGGTACATAATACTTTCGGGGCGTCCGTGGCCGAGTGGTTAAGGTCGTTGACTTCAAACCACTTGCCCCTCACCTCTGTGGGTTCGAATCCCGACAAGAACTTTGGATTCTTTCATGTGAGGAAGCTATCCAGCTAGCTTACGGAACGTCGGTGGTTCTACTCAGGTACCCGTTCGTGCCTGAAATAATGCACGGAAGGGCACCTGAGGTCTTCCTCCACCAGTAAAGCTGGAACGTCGCGATATGACCTATACTGTGTCGATGTGACGTAAAACCCAAAACAAAACAAAAAACATAATACTTTCAAGCATTCAATAAAGTACTTTATATAAAACAGTTGGGAATATTAAGTAAACTATGTAGTTTATTCATATAGGATAGTTCATATCCCGTATTAAATATGAATTGGTTGTTTTGATTTTGTAATTTATATGCTCCTCTCCAATGAAGTGGGTATATATTGCTTTGTACAGCATCTGTTGGTACATAAATCAGAACTATCTGACCAATAACTAAAGAACGCTTTTGTCTCCAGTTGACTAGCAGATGATCCCTGTAGATATTTTAGGTCAAATGGCCAAAAGTCAAGGTTGTTGTGGCCTTGACTCATTAAATCTTGCTTCACAAATAAATAAAAAAGCTTTGACTTACAGCCCTAAGATTTAGTGTGAGATGTTAATGACCTTATTGATTCTTTTGGCATTTTGTCAAAGGTCAACGTCACTGTCATGACTACAAGGTATTTTCCTAAGAAATAACTTGGCTTTGGCATATAGTTCTTAGATTTGGTTGGTTGGGAGATTGATTCATGACTAGATGTCACCTCTATTGATTTTGAGTTTAGTAAGTTAAAATGTCAAGGTCATGGTGACCATAACCAAATAAATCATTTTTATAATGAAATATGTTTTAATTGTAGATTAAGCAGGCCTTTGCATTTATATAATCAAGAGCAACTATGTTAATAGTCATGTTCTTTACAAATATTACAGATAAAAAGGCAATGTAATATTTCCATTATAGGGGTGTATACATGTGTTACAAAAATCTTTTGTTCATTTTTAACATCTTCTTTTTTATATTGAAATTTAGATGATGCAGAAATTTTGACTTCAAATGATAGCAGAATAAACTACACTGTTGTTATGGAGCGTTATCTTCAGACCAACCCTTCAGGAAAATTTGTGAAAGTTAAATTGATGCCTGAGATAGAAGGTACATCATTTAAAATATTAATGCTTCAATGTTGACTTATCCAAACATATCAGAGGCAGATGATTGTGGTGAAGGGTTTTCAAAGAAAACTTCGGTATTTAATTAAAGTTTCATGTTTTCCTTTGACCATTAAAAGACCAAGGTAAAACATGAATAAGTTAGCATGTCAGATCTGCCTTATAGGTGTAATTTTGTCCAAGCATTACTGTATTCCTGGAAACATTCATGGAGACAATGTTTTTAATAATGATGGCGTTTTCGCAGCAATCATAGTGACCGTGAATATTGTGGGGTAAAGAGCATATATATTACTTATATCATAATAAGGTTTTGGTATTTGTCCACTTTATTCCTGGAAGACAAGACTAAAAGCATACGATATTGACAAAATCTTTAAAATTTAGTTTTTTACAATCTATATTTAAGATATAAAATAGCATTCCATTTTGACATAATTCTTGGATACAAGAAAAATAAAAATGCATTCAGATGACAATTAGTGTTATTTGCATTTAAAATCGTAATGTAAATTTAAATAATTATTGTATGATTTATTTGAATATTCGAAAATGAAACGCAAACACAATATCAAATTACTAATAATTCTTTTAATAAGTCTATGTGAAAAGAAACTTCATCGCATATACACACAGATATTTACAAAAAAAACTATTGGTTGGATAAGTTGACCATTCGAGACAAGACAGATTTGACCATGTCTAGTCTTGAGAAAAAATTCAGACGACCGAAGGGAGGCAGTATTTTCTACAAACTGTACACAACTGTACACAACTCAACAAAACTGTACACAACTGTACACAAATAAAAAATTGCGCAATTGATTTCATTTTAACTTTCTATTGTTTTGTACTAATATTAAAGCTACATGCCTACAGGTGAGTAAAAATATTTCAATAAAATCAAACTTGAGAAAAAATGCAATAAGATGTAAGGAAAAATAAAATTTCAAGATTCAAGTAATATTTTACATATTATGTGCGATTAATGACTGATTTTTCAGTGGGCCTGGAATTATATTCGAATATTCGATACACTACCGAATATTCGAACATTGAAAAACGAATACGAATATTCGTAAAAAGTGTTGTTTTTTTTTAGCTCACCTGTCACAAAGTGACAGGGTGAGCTTTTGTGATCGCTTTTCGTCCGGCGTCCGTCCGTCCACTATCCGTCCATAAACTTTTGCTTTAAATGACATCTCCTCATAAACCACTGAGCCAATTTCATCCAAACTTCACAGGAATGTTCCTTTGGTGGTCACCTTTAAAAATTGTTCAAAGAATTTAATTCCATGCAGAACTCTGGTTGCCATGGCAACCGAAAGAAAAATCTTTAAATATCTTCTATTAAACAACCCTAAGAGCTAGAGCTAAGATATTTGGCATGAATCATCTTCTAAAGAGTGTCCACCAAGTTTGTTCAAATAAAAGCCCTGGGGTCAAAATTGGCCCCGCCCCAGGGGGTCATAGATTTTCCCTATATGCATATAGTAAAAACTTAAAAAATCTTCTTTTAAAGAACCCAAAGAGCTAGAGCTAAGATATTTGGCATGAAACATCTTCTAGTGAGTGTCTTCCAAGTTTGTTCAAATAAAAGCCCTGGGGTCAAAATTGGCCCTGCCCCAGGGGGTCATTGATTTTCCCTATATGCATATAGTAAAAACTTAAAAAATCTTCTTTTAAAGAACTGTAAGAGCTAGAGCTTAGATATTTGGCATGAAACATCTTCTAGTGCATGTCTACCAAGTTTGTTCAAATAAAAGCCTTGAGGTCAAAATTGGCCCTGCCCCAGGGGGTCATAGATTTTCCCTATATGCATATAGTAAAAACTTAAAAATCTTCTTTAAAAGAACTGTAAGAGCTAGAGCTAAGATATTTAGCATGAAACATCTTCTAATGAGTGTCTACCAAGTTTGTTCAAATAAAAGCCTTGAGGTCAAAATTGGCCCCGCCCCAGGGGGTCATAGATTTTCCCTATATGCATATAGTAAAAACTTAAAAAATCTTCTTTTAAAGAACCCAAAGAGCTAGAGCTTAGATATTTGGCATGAAACATCTTCTAGTGCATGTCTACCAAGTTTGTTCAAATAAAAGCCCTAGGGTCAAAATTGGCCCCGCCCCAGGGGGTCATTGATTTTCCCTATATGCATATAGTAAAAACTTAAAAATCTTCTTTTAAAGAACCCAAAGAGCTAGAGCTAAGATATTTGGCATGAAACATCTTCTAGTGAGTGTCCACCAAGTTTGTTCAAATAAAAGCCCTGGGGTAAAAATTGGCCCCGTCCCGGGGGGTCATTGATTTTCCCTATATGCATAAAGTAAAAACTTAAAAAATCTTCTTTTAAAGAACCTTAAGAGCTAGAGCTTAGATATTTGGCATGAAACATCTTCTAGTGAATGTCTACCAAGTTTGTTCAAATAAAAGCCCTGGGGTCAAAATTGGCCCCGCCCCAGGGGGTCATTGAATTTCCCTATATGCCTATAGTAGAAACTTAAAAAATCTTCTTTTAAAGAACCCAAAGAGCTAGAGCTAAGATATTTAGCATGAAACATGTTCTAATGGGTGTCTACCAAGTATGTTCAAATAAAAGCCCTGGGGTCAAAACTGGCCCCGCCCCAGAGGGTCATTGATTTTTCTTATATGTGTAAAGCAAAAACTGAAAAATCTTCTTTGAAAAAACCCAAATAGCTAGAGTTTAGATATTAAGCATGAAACATCTTTAAGTAAATATCTACAAAGTTTGTTCAAATAAAAGCCCGGGGGTCAAAACTGGCCCTGCCCCAGGGGTGTCATTGTTTTTAACTATATGGGTATAGTAAAAACTTAAAAAATCTTCTTTTAAAAACCCCAATGAGCTAGAACTTAGATGTTTAGCATGAAACATCTTCTTATGGGTATCTACCAAGTCTGCTCAAATAAACAAATAAAAGCCCTTGGGTAAAAATTGGCCCGGGGGGGATGGGGGGGGGCTATATACAGGTGAGCGACCTCAGGGCCATCATGGCCCTCTTGTTTTTTTTTGTTATTACTTTCAAATTTCAATTAAGATCGTAAATTAAACCATTGGCCTTTACTTGACAAGGTGTTCACACGTTTGTATGACGCGTGTCAACGATTATCGCCAATTAACTGTGAAAACTTTGGGGTCTAGTTGATCAAAAGGGCACCCGTTTCACAATTTGCAATTTACCTGTTTAACAGAATATAATGTAATTCTTTCCGATTCTTATTATCTTATTTATTGTTTTCTGTGCAATAATCTTTTCGATTGATCAGTAATTGTCTTAAATTTTGTAAAGACGAAAACATCAACATGTATTAATCGGTGCTTTATGAAAGCATGGTCAGTGTCTATATTCCGTCAAAATATATTTATTCCGTAGAAATAAGACTCCGTGTGATATTTACTGCGTTATAGCTAAATTAATCTGAATAATATTTTAAACCTTATCTAAAATTATCAATAAATAAAAAATTTATTTAATTCAAATTAAGTTTCAATATAAATTATGTGTTTTGGGGGCTAAGAGGCTACGGTGATTCATATTACTGTCAATCAAGTCACGTGAATTACCTCCCGTTAATAAGACAAATGATCAGCAGTCGGAATTTAACTGAACAAAAGGCAATCAAATTATTAATTTATTTCAAAAGTAAACATTTATGTCGATTTGCAATATTTAAAATAAAAAACTTTAACGTAGTAATATAGGTATTTTTAATCGTCGATTATTCCAAGCATATTAAAGTAGTATAGTATTCGACGTAATCAATTTCGGATATGTATACGTCAAAGAGAAATATTGGAACAAATGTTGTAAAAACGAATATTCAAATATATTCGAATATGGAAAACAAATATTCAGACATCAAATTCCTTATTCGTTCCCAGCCCTATTTTTCAGTATTTACAACTAAAGGCTATTTATGCATATTTTGACCACTTTTGTTAATTTTCTGGCTTTGTAAGTGCCATTTGATAACATGTCAATTGCTTCCTTTTGGTAACTATACAATATTACACATTCAAATACATTTTTAAAATTTTCATAAAAATTACCATGAATCTGGAGGCGTGCTGCTTAAACTGAACCTACATGTATATACCACTGGTAACATACTACCACAAGCATCGGTTCTTTAACGATGAACAATTAAACCACTCACCAATGATAAGACCAAGAAATGAATGGTTTCACAATTGGAGTTAATATAAATATAAACAACAAAGTGGTATTTCTGACAGTAAAGGCTGTACAATGCAATACAAAGCAAGGCATAATGCAAGGCAAGAAAGCAAAGCTAGTTAGGAATTGCCGAGTACTAAGGGAAAAACCTATTAACGAGTCAACACAATTACTGGTAGACCGTGTAATAATTAGGAAGTACCGGATGAGCATTTAAAATTTAACCTACAAGGTTCCTATCTTTAGGCGATTAGACAAGCCCAAAAACAACATGACCCTAACCGGCTAAGATATTCGAAAAACATGAATTGCAAGTACATTTATTTGCGAGGCCTGCTTACCCCTCGATTGACAGAATTTTTCTGCCACAATAAATTCAACGAATTTATCACCCAAAAATTCCATTATAAATTTTTTAGCATAGCATCTCTTAATAGTCAAGATAGAACTCTAAACCAATTAAATTTAAGTGGACACCATCCTCATGATAAAACGCCGTTTCCAGGGATAAAAACTAACCATTTAAGCTTGGTGGCCACCTGGACCACTGACTTTAAAATTTTGGTGGCCCAATAAATATTTCAGTGGACCTACAATTTATCGAGTTAATATAACAAGTCATATTCTGAATCTATGAAAATTATCAATTTAATTAAAAACTTTGTAAATAAAATCATAACACTGAAACAAAGTTCTTTATTTGTGTATGGTTTAGTTATAATGTGTTAAATATCTATCAGTATCAGTCTCTATTAAAGTCCAACAATTTTGAAAACACAATATCCTCCTCCG